CCCAGTACCTGACGGCAGAGGAAGGTATTGTTTAATCACAAAAAACCTTCAAAACATGGTATTATAAACCTTTATTAGTTCTCTCTCTGTAGGATTGAAAGATGCTCAGTATTTTCAGACTGCTATGCAAGACCTGGGAAACTTGAAGTGTTTTTTTCCCCTAAGAACTTTCTTCATTGCACTGGCTGATGACCAGAGATTTCCCAGGAGCAGCAAGTTGCTGGCAAGAGTTTATATGTTAAAAGGGGAGGTGGGGTGGAAATGGTTTTTGAAGAGACCAGTCACATGACTTCGGTCAAACTACAAGCAAAATCCATTTTAAACCAACTACAAACGTGACAACCGTGGGTGTCAAAGAAAAAAACCCCACACAAACGAGACTGAATAATAAGACTGAAAAGACCGTGCCGTTAAAATGAGCGGCACAATATTTTAATATAACGGTAGAGGAGGATGGTGAATCGCACAGCCCTAGCAAGCTGGAAATTGGGGGGGGGGGTGGTAGTTCCTAGTGTAGAGGTGGGAGCCAGAATGAAAAAAAAAGGGGTGCCAAAACGTACGAAGAGCAGGCAGGCCAGGCCTGCAGAGCCGTGTGCGGGGGACAGGGAGGGGAAGCCCGGCAGAGCCAGGCCAGCAGCGGCAGAGGCAGCCGACCAGGCCCTACAGCCCTAGCTGCGTCCAGTTTGCTTTGGAGGAACAAAAAATAAGTTAAATAAAAATAGGGGAGAGGGGGGAAAGGAGGAAAAAAAAAAAAAGGCGGCAAGCAGCAAAGCAAGCGCGGGGCCGGGATGGGCTGATCCTGCCTCCCCACCGGCAGCGGCAGCGGCCACGGACCCGTCTCGCTGCCGCTGGATCAGCCTGTGCGGGGCCGGGATGAGAGAGGCGGCGGCGCCGCTTTGAAAAAAAAAAACAAAGCAAAACAAAACGAAACAAAACAACCCCCCGCCTCCCCCCAGCTCCGCGTGGCCGGGACCCGCCACCCGCGGGGCCGCTCTCGGGAGGGGAGCGGAGCGGAGTGGGGCGGCCCCTTCGGGAGAGAGGCAGCGACGGGCCCCGCGGCGGCGCCCCCCCGCAGCCC